TGCAAGTGGCGATTGCAAGTGACATTGTAATTTAGTTTCTTTTTTCTTGTCTTCACCACCTGGCTATTGTTGTAAAACGTTGAGCGATTCAAACAAAAAGTAATCAATAAATAGAACAAAATAAAAACAAATAAAAGACTGCAAGTGACGTAGCTAGCGGAAGTGCAAGTGTCTGAGAGTGCAAGCCTGAGAATGCACGTCTGAGAGTGCAAGCGCCAAGCTGCAGCCAGACCCTTCTCGATCCGCTGCCGCGTTCGCGAGATAGTGACACCAGCCAACAAAAGTGTCCAAACTTTTGACTGGTATTGTACTATAATATACACAAAGAATATCAGCCGATATATCGATATCAGCCTTTTTTTACTCCCCAATATCGGTATCGGCCCCCCAAAAACCCATATCGGTCGGGCTCTAGATATCACAACAGATGGCGGTAATGAACAAATTTAATTTGTGATCTAGTCAGAAGACTGCTTCAATGCATTACAGGCTCGTGACTCGTCAGACAGCTAAATGGAATGCAGCATTTGGTCGCGCTACACCGCTACTTGCTGGGAAAAGTAGTTAGCTACTGGAAAAGCTACATTGTTTTAAAAGTAGCTAAGCTACTGTCGCGCTACTGAAAAATGTAGTTACGTTAGTAGTGTCGCTACTTGTAGCTAGCTACTCCCCAACACTGCATGTCAGGTGTGTTACACCTTAATGTACAGCTAAATCTTATATTACACAAACCAACAATCACTATAATTTGAATTTGAACATTATTAAAACATAAAAAACATACAGTCTTTATCCTGAAGGACTGAAACAATGACACAACTAAAACAAAGGTTTTTAATACCAGTAGTTTGGCCTGCTCCTGCAGCAGCTGTTGCTGAAGGATTTCAAGATGTCTTTGTTCCTCCTCGAGCTGCCGGTGGATAAACTCCTGTCAAACAAACAGAGTCAAACAGTCAGTGTTTAGCTTAATTCCATGTCATTATAAATGTGAGATACTTATAAAGTCACCTGTTCAAGGTCAATCCTTCTCTTTTCCTCTTCGACTCTCCTGCGCTCTTCTTCCTCTTTACGCTTGAGTTCCATTTCCTCCTTGTGTCTTTTGTCCTCCTGCTCCTTGCGTCTTTGCTCCCGCTCTTGCTGCCGTCTCATCTCACGCTCCCGTCGCTGTTGCTGTCAAAGTCGAGAGATTTTTGATCTTAACTTTTTTGATCCACTTCAAATGTTGACTACTATATTTGAAATTGCCTACTTAATCTATGCATCAAACAGTCAAATCCCATACTGAATGCTGCTTAAAACATTTCCTATACATGTAATGTGTGTAGTGGACAGCACATTCCAGGGCCCAGTTTATGGTGGAGCCCCTCTCTGACCACAATAATGTACGTATGTAATGTAGGTTTGCTACGCAAGGTTGCTGATTGGATCTTGGTGGACTGACATAAGCAAAATCTTAAACTGATGCAAAACTACAACACACACATCTTATACTTATTCAAAGAAATAAGTATTCTCAGTGACAGTAGCCGGGTTTCCACCCAAAGTTACGAATTTAACTTATGCGCAAAATTGGAATATCGCACAAAACATTTGCGAACAAGCACCGTTTCCATCCAACGAGTCAAAGAGAACAAAATCATTACTTCCTGATAAGCTGGCACTATACATCACTAAGAAAAGTAGGAGAAGCTACTGAATATAATAATTTTCCTATATAATAAATTACTTGCACCTCAGAACGAGCAGACGAAACACAATGAATGCGGTAATTGCTTTCGGAGGTGGATGCTGCTGTTTGGGAACGCAGTCGTTTAACAGTTCTGGGAGGCAATTATACAGAAATACTTTGATGACAGACTTTGCTCGGGCATTTCCGAATGACCATAACAACATTTCAGATGCTGTGAATGAGATCGGTCCGCTGGTTAGTCAGAATTTGCCGTCCCATAGCGCAAAGTCATATGACTTTTTTGATGCGCTTGGAGGAATTTATTCGCAAAATGCATTTCCATCTCCCATTATTCGCAATAACCCTTTTTCGCACAAGTCAAAAACCACCTCAAGCGAGCGTAAAAACTTTTTTGCGAATTAAGGCATTTTTATTCGAAATTCAGCGTTTCCATCACTCGATTCTGATGCGATACTTCAAAATGCGCATAAAAGCAGGGTGATGGAAACCCAGCTATTGATGTGTAGTGCAAAACATCTTACACAAACTCAGGTGTTAATGGACAAATGAATGCATGTATGACAGTTCAATCTTTTCCAACATGTTTGGACGTAATGTGTTTGTGATATTGCCAAAGGTATTCTTTTTCCAGATCTTAGGACCCTTTGGTGCTCCAGGAGATTTGCATCCTACAGCACTTCATATTCAAGGATACCTGCTCCTTTCCCCACTGCATTGTTACCAGCACAACCAGTGGATGAAGTCACTGCCACCGTACTGCTCACTCAATCACAGAGAACGTAAACATCACTTATCCAAACCTCTTCCAGAGACCTTGGCATTATCAGTATATGATTTTTTCTAATTTACATTACGGTCATTCCGTGTCAACTCATATTTATTCTGAAGAAAGATAAACATGTATAGTGATGAAAGCAAATGTCGTGGGTGAATATTTACTAAGTAATCCACTATTTTGTAGAGGGGGGTCAAAATGGCAATTTTTACTTGAGGCTGTATAAAAAGTGACTAGGGATATGCCTGTCGTTATCAAATTTTCATGTTGCGATTAATTGCTAATGCTTTTATCACAGTATACGGTATTATCACGGTATTGAAATTTAGTTTCAAAAAAAGTGTTGTCATAATACAGTATGACAGGCTTAATAACTTTTTTCTTATAACAAAATGACTGAACATTTAAATACAATTTTTTTATACAGAAAAATGTATAAAGTAAAACATTTTACACAGATTAAAGTGCAAAAGAACTATAAATACCAACAGGTATCACTTTACAATAAGACCTCATTAATTAACCTTAGTTAATGCATTAACATTAACAATGAGCAAAAGCTACATTTGCTACAGAAGTTATTAATCTTTAAAAAAAATACAACTCTTAGTTCATGTTAGCTCATTAAATAACACAGTTGCAACTTTTGATTTTAACAACGGGTTATTAAATATTGGAATTACCTATGATTAATGAATGTTAGAAGAATTTTTCATTGGCAGTTTATGTTAACTGAATTAACTAATGAAAATATAAAACAAAATATAAAAAAACACCTTTCGTTTTCATTTTAAAAATATAAAACATTAATATGTGGTTTAAGTAATATGTACAGTGCACATATACTCCGATTATCTTCACTGAATGTATAATAAAATGAAATATGACAAGCACAACTGCCTTTTTTTTGTTAAATGTCAGTTTTAATGAACAATAGCCATTATAAAAGTATAACTATAAATTATAAGAGACTTATGTAATAGGAAATAAGACAAAAGCAAACAATTCAGTCAAATGTATGCAACAAGTCCATGCTGTATTACTATTGATAAATTGATAAATAAATAATTTATGAAACTTTGTGCTCAGCCAAAACGATATGACCTGGAAGAAATAACAGATTCATGAGACCAAAGATTGCCTGTTAGAGTTACCCAGTGGCGGCTCGTTGGGGGAGGCACAGCTTCCCCATAATTTTGAGGTGAAAATGGGAGGAGGACGATTTAATGTTAATAAAATTCACAATTCATTTCAGTTCATGTCTCAGAATGTGTATTTTTTGTTTGTAATTTCACAGTTGTAATATCATAACGTGAAAGCGCCGCTTTTCTATCGCGAATGTGCCGAATCTGCTGATGTAATTACAACCGCTAATGATAGAGAAGGGTAGGGGGAGGCCGAGCGAGCGCTGAGCTCTCGTGCACTCTGTTGGTAAAAAATATTAGCCAATCACCATCGAGTGTTCACTTTCAGCGCTGAGGAGTGTTGAGAAAA